TTTTTTTTTTTTGGTAACAGATAAAAGTGGTAACTAACTATAACTAACAACAAACTAACAACAAACTAACTAACTAGAAGGCAATTGTAACTAGATGAAAGGATTTCTAAACGAGTCTGCTGAGCTCCGTCTCAGGCCGGGGACGGTAGAGAAGGAACTGAGGAGATTGGCCACGCATGCGTACTATTAAGCTAGACTCAGAACGGGGGGGCAGGCTCTGCGCATGCGTGGCCGGTACGAGTACTGCTACAAAAATCTCCGAGCAAAGGCGCAGGGACGCACCAACACCTGGAGTGGAGCACCCACAGGGACATCTCTCGAAGAAGAACAGAGCCTCAGCTCCCCCTGCCCCCGAGCTCTGTCTATCTGCCTAGGGCCCTGTACAGCACGTCCCCACAGCGCCTGAGCTGGAACATTGCTCTGATCTGGGACAGCAATTCCTTCCTTCCTATGGTATCGAAAGGTCACAGAGCATCTGGCACCAGGCCAGGCCCCTGGGATCACAGTGACCCACGTAGGGGGCTCACACTTACCCAGGCAGACAGCAGTCTGATTCCAGACGCTCCGGTTCCCCTGTCCGGTACATCTGATCACGGGCTGCGAGGGTTCGAACCCCTCAGCGCAGCTCAGGGTCACTGGCTCCTCCCTGCTATAATACGTCTTGTCCGGTTCGAACCGCAGAGCTGAGGCCCAGCTGGGTTTGCGGCACTTTTCTGTTGGGAGAACAATCAGGTTTGGGGCCATTAGAAAAGGGCGAGATTCCAGTCCCCATATTAGACTGTCAGTCCCTGCCCCAAGGAGCTGTCTGTCTGTCCAGCGTTTGTACAGCACCTAGCACTGGGGTTCCCAAGGGCTACTGGTAATACAAATAGTCACAACATGCCTTACCCATGAATCCACACACTGATACACACCGTTATGTACAGGCACCGACATCCCCTCTCACCCCTCCAACACAGCCTAGAACCTCACCACACTCCCCCCCACGCAGGCTGCTTTGCCCCACACACTCGCTGTCGCTGTCACTTCACGCCCTTCAGAAGGTCCGAGCTGAACACTCAAGACATAAAGACGCCCCCAGGAAGTCGTGGGGCCTCCTTGGAGGCTCTCGGTGTCCCAGGGTTTGGATCCTGCCTCCCAGCCCGTCTGTGCAGAACTCACCCACACAGCTCACACGGCTCGTGTCCCACTCCACGCGCCCAGCCGTCTCTGTACATCGCATCCAAGCCGGGCTCCCCTCGTACTGCTCCTGGCGACAGGTCACCCAAACCCCCTCGCCAACGGCAAACTCTGTCTGTGCGGAGGCAGCAGAGACCGACGGGGGCCAGTTTCCTGCCCTCGTACAAACGCCTGGAGGGAAAGAAATGTCCAGTCTTGGCAAATCCTGTTCTGGTGAAAGGTGCCGCTGGCCACCCCCGGGTGATCCTGGGGCAGAGCTGAGCCAAAGGGAGCGCGGGAGAAACCAGCACAGCAAAGGGCTGGGGAAAGGCGAGGAACATGGACACGGTGGTGACAGGGAGTCTCTGGGCTGTGTCTGCCCTTCCTTATTGGCCCCTGGGCCAGAGCCCGGGGGGGTGAGGGGTTGGGGTCTGGCTGAGGGCCCCTGCAATTGAAGCAGGGTTTAGGTCCCCATATGAGAGGCTGAGAGGCCCAAACAAACCAGAGGGTTTACGGGGCGAGAATTCACCTGGCTCCGGAGATACCAAAGTGTCACAGAGTCTGGCTGCTGGCCCGGCAACTGTGACCACGGTGACTCGGGGGGTCTCACACTTACCCCGGCAGGTGGGTGTCTCACTCCAGACAGACTGGCTCCCATTTCTGACACATTCGATCACAGCTGGTGACGGCCGATACCCCTCAGAGCAGTTCAGTGTCACCGAGTCACCCAGGGTGTAGAACGGCCCCTTGGGGGCAAACTGCAATCTGGAGTCCCTGGGTTTTGGTATTTCACATTTTTCTGTGTATGACAGAAATAAGGGGAGACCCTTGAGGGTTATTGAATCATGCAGCTTCCCCCAGCCAGTATGGGCCCGATCCTGAGCCACGCTAGGCACCCACACTACAGTAGGGGTTGCCGGGATCAGCTCCTCTGTGACCAGGTCTATCTCCCCCGTTTCTCTCTACAGGATTCACACGTGCTCAGGGCCTCAGAGGGTGGGGTGAGTGAGGTGAGGGCAGGCGAGTCAGCCCCACTGAGGCGTGGGGGGAGGACATATTTCCCTGGGTGTCCAGGCCAGAAGGGCCCATTCTGACCATCCACTCTGACCTATTGCCTAGCCCAGGCCAGAGACCCACCTGCAGGGGGGATCTTCTCCCCTTCTGCCAGTGACTCTGTTGCTCTCAGGCCTGGTCTACACTAGGGGGGATCAATCTAAGATAAGCAACATCAGCTACGAGAATAGTGTAGCTGAAGTCGATGTATCTTAGATCGACTTAGAATTACTTACTTCGCGTCCTCGCGGCGCGGGATTGACGGCTGCAGCTCCCCCATCGACTTTGCTTCCGCCTCTCGCCGAGCTGGAGTTCAGTAGTCGACGGGAGAGCGATCGGGGATCAATTTATCGCGTCTACACTACACGCAATAAATCAATCCCCAATAGATAGATCACTACCCGCCGATCCGGCGGGTAGTGTAGACTAGCCCTCAGGAACTGGTGGTTGAATTAGGCCTTGTCTACACTTGCAAGTTAGAGTGCATTAAATCAGCCCTGGGCTCCCTAACTCACGACGTGTCCACACTGGCAAGGCACGTAGAGCAGCCGGACTCCCCGGCTGGAGCGCTCCTGGTAATCCATCTCCACGAGAAGCGTAACGCTTGCTGCACCTTGGCTGAAACGCCCCAGCGTCAGTGTGAACGCCCTGGTCTGTTAATGCGCTCTGATTGGCCTCCAGAAGTGTCCCACAATGCCTGTTCTAGCCACTCTGGTCATCACTTTGAACTCGGAGAACACTTTGAGAGCGGACAGGGGGCTGCAGACAGGGGAGTTTGAGAGGGAGAGCAAGAGATCCCGCTGCCAAACAGGCTACCAGGTGAGAGGTGAGAGTACTAGCTGTTGGTGTGAGTGAGTTTGCTCGACTGTTTGAATTTTAATTGTGATTCTGATTTCAGGTGAATTCAGTTTCAGCTGCTGTGGCAGTTGGGACTGAGTGCCTGACCTTGTTCCCTTGATTGCCTTTGATTGGCCCTCCCCAGTGTGACTCACGAGGGGGTGGGACTGACCTAGGCAAGCAGGCTTTAAAAGCCAGAGGCAGGGCGACCAGGGGGCTGCAGACAGGGGAGTTTGAGAGGGAGTTTGACAGAGGGAGGCTTACGATGGTTAGGAAGACCCGCAACACCTGTGCCAGCACTGCTTCTGTCTCCTCCACCTGCGCCTGTAGCCAGACAGAGCGCCTGAGCATGGATGCTTCTACCCAGATCCTGGTGTGGTTTTGCAGAGACTGTAACTTGCAATTTCCACTTACTGATATCCAGGCTGGGGGGACCATCCACTGTGAAAGGTGCCTGCTGGTGGAATCTCTCAGGCAGCAGGTGGGAGAGCTACAGGAGGAGGTGGCTAGGTTGAGAAGCATCCGAATCCACGAGCAATTCCTAGACAGTGTCCATGTGGAGACAGCTGAGGTAGCTGTCCCAGTACACAGGACTGCTGATACACCACTGGTGGAGGAGGAGATGGCTCAGGGTGGACACTGGCAGCTGGTTACTTCTGGCAGCAGGCAGTGCTCCACCCCTGCTCCGAACCCTCCCGCCGTGGTAATAGGTAACCGTTATGCTCTTCTTGATACAGGAGAGAAGGAATCACCCCCTACAGTAAAGGAGGAGAAGCCTCGTACCCCTAAGGCTGGAAGGTCTGCTGCCACCACTGCGAATAGGAAACGTAGGGTAGTGGTGGTCGGAGACTCAATGCTGAGGGGAACGGAGGCGCCCATCTGTCGCCCTGACATTTCATCTCGGGAGGTATGCTGCCTGCCGGGGGCCCGTATCCGAGACGTTACGGAGGCATTGTCGAGGATTATCCAGCCCTCTGACTACTACCCCATGCTACTCATCCATGTGGGCACAAATGATACTGCGCAGTGTGACACTGAGCAGATCAAGAGTGACTACAGGGCTCTGGGAGTACGGGTGAAGGAGTCTGGAGTGCAGGTGGTATTCTCTTCCATCCTTCCTGTCAAAGGTAGGGGCCCAGGCAGAGACAGGTGCATCGTGGAGGTGAATGCCTGGCTGCGAAGATGGTGTCACCAGGAGGGCTTTGGCTTCCTCGACCACGGGATGCTATTCGAGGAAGGACTGCTAGGCAGAGATGGCGTTCACCTTTCGAGGAGGGGAAAGACCCTATTTGGACACAGACTGGCTAACCTAGTGAGGAGGGCTTTAAACTAGGTTCGACGGGGACAGGTGAGCAAAGCCCACAGGTAAGTGGGGAACATGGAGACCTGGGAGATGGGTCGGAAACGAGAGGGAGTGTGGGCTATAATGGCAGAGAGAAAGGAGGGTCAGGGCAAAACTGGGAGGCAACAGCAAACCAGTATCTTAGATGCCTATATACAAATGCAAGAAGTATGGGTAATAAGCAGGAAGAACTGGAAGTGCTAATAAATAAATACAACTATGACATTGTTGGCATCACTGAAACTTGGTGGGATAATACACATGATTGGAATGTTGGTGTGGATGGATACAGCTTGCTCAGGAAGGATAGACATGGGAAAAAGGGAGGAGGTGTTGCCTTATATATTTAAAATTTATACACTTGGACTGAGGTGGAGATGGACATAGGAGACGGAAGTGTTGAGAGTCTCTGGGTTAAGCTAAAAGGGGTAAAAAACCAAGGGTGATGTTGTGACGAAGTGGGGGATTTTCTTGTTTGTTTTCTTGTTTTCGGTGGGGTTTCAATGGTTTGCATGCGGAGGGGGTGGGACTCAGTTTCCCTGGGTGTTACTGGTTTAACGAGGTGAGGGGAGAGGGAGTTTGTTGTTACAGAGGACCGGAGAGGGAACTTGGGACCCCAGCCAATGGCCTGGAGGATGGATACCCCAGCGACCGGACCCGGAGACCCAGCTCAGGAGCCACAGCCGGTTCTGGCCAGTGGGAGGACAATGGGCTGCAGAGTGAGGACCCAGTGACCTAACCAGCCGGTTCCAGCCAGAGGCAGAAGCGAGGAGAGGAGGCCCCAGTTTACAACCCTGTTTCCCTGGAGAGAAGACAATGGACAGAGGTGGGGCCTGGGGCCCGTGATCTCAGATGCCCAGCTGGGAGCAGGGGGGCTCTGGGCTGGAGAGGGGGAGCAAGCAGAGCCCACCTGGATGCAGAGAGACTGGGATGTGCTGGGCTGAGGGAGGCCAGTCCTGAGGCCCTGAGAGTTTCCTGTGCTGTGTTCAACTCTCAATAAACCCTCCTGTCTTACACTGGCTGAGAGTCACTCCGGTCTAGAGAACAGGGTTGCATCAACCCCTTCGGGGTTATCTTCCCTGGCACAGGGGGTCCAGAGCGAGTGGACTCCCTGCGGGGGGCCCACGGCAGAGACAGATGTGCTAAGGCTCAGAGAGGTGCAGCTCCAGGAGGTGGAGGGGCCTAACCCCGAGAGAGAGTGGACCCCCGAGAAGGGCTGTCACACTGAAAGGGGCACCCCCATGGACTGCACAGAGCCAAGAGTGGGCACGATCTGTGAGTCCGTGACAGATGTCATGCTAGGAGTCTACTACAGGCCACCTAACCAGGTGGAAGAGGTGGATGAGGCTTTTTTTAAACAACTAACAAAATCATCCAAAGCCCAAGATTTGGTGGTGATGGGGGACTTCAACTATCCAGATATATGTTGGGAAAATAACACAGCGGGGCACAGACTATCCAACAAATTCTTGGACTGCATTGCAGACAACTTTTTATTTCAGAAGGTTGAAAAAGCTACTGGGGGGAAGCTGTTCTAGACTTGATTTTAACAAATAGGGAGGAACTCGTTGAGAATTTGAAAGTAGAAGGCAGCTTGGGTGAAAGTGATCATGAAATCATAGAGTTCGCAATTCTAAGGAAGGGTAGAAGGGAGAACAGCAAAATAGAGACAATGGATTTCAGGAAGGCGGATTCTGGTAAGCTCAGAGAGCTGATAGGTAAGGTCCCATGGGAATCAAGACTGAGGGGAAAAACAACTGAGGAGAATTGGCAGTTTTCCAAAGGGACACTATTAAGGGCCCAAAAGCAAGCTATTCCGCTGGGTAGGAAAGATAGAAAATGTGGCAAAAGACCACCTTGGCTTAACCACGAGATCTTGCATGATCTAAAAAATAAAAAAGAGTCATATAAAAAATGGAAACTAGGACAGATTACAAAGGATGCATATAGGCAAACAACACAGGAATGCAGGGGCAAGATTAGAAAGGCAAAGGCACAAAATGAGCTCAAACTAGCTACGGGAATAAAGGGAAACAAGAAGACTTTTTATCAATACATTAGAAGCAAGAGGAAGACCAAAGACAGGGTAGGCCCACTGCTTAATGAAGAGGGAGAAACAGTAACAGGAAACTTGGAAATGGCAGAGATGCTTAATGACTTCTTTGTTTCGGTCTTCACCGAGAAGTCTGAAGGAATGCCTAACCTAGTGAATGCTAATGGGAAGGGGGTAGGTTTAGCAGATAAAATAAAAAAAGAACAAGTTAAAAATCACTTAGAAAAGTTAGATGCCTGCAAGTCACCAGGGCCTGATGAAATGCATCCTAGAATACTCAAGGAGCTAATAGCGGAGGTATCTGAGCCTCTAGCTATTATTTTTGGAAAATCATGGGAGACGGGAGAGATTCCAGAAGACTGGAAAAGGGCAAATATAGTGCCCATCTATAAAAAGGGAAATAAAAACAACCCAGGAAACTACAGACCAGTTAG